GAGCTGTGCCCCTCACATTCACCATCATCAACTTGGTGACAATCATGGAGCCTGGCTCATAGTAATTTCTCAAAATATATTTGTTGATGATTGAATACTTTTGTTGTACACACCATCCTCCTCCAAGCCCAATTCACCTACTTATAAAATTAAATAATGCAAAAGCATCACTCACTAGGTCTATGTTGTTTACTATATATTAGCGTATATTCATTCATATTATACAATTAAAATACTGAAAAACAGGTAATTCCCAAAAATGGTTCAAAATAGACATTTCCTTTAAGATTACAGAAAAAGTATATCAATAATGCTCACTTAAGTATATACAATAAGTATATCAATAATTTGCTCCCATGAAAATAATTCTAACTCCAAAAGTTAGAGGATGAGTCAAAGAGGACTTTACTCTTTGACTGAACAAGGGGCTTTCTCCTAGGAAATGCAAAGAGAATAAAATAAATTACATACAAAAACTTTCTCATTGCAGTAGCATCTATAAGAGAAAATGGAAGCAACCTAATGTCCCCAGTGAAGGAAATTATTAAAGAAATTATAGCAATTACTTGTATGCAGTCATTATGTGATAATGAAGATGACTGAGAAACCAACTTCTTATGTCCATACTGAATGAAAAAGTCAGAATACAGAATTGTACACATATTAATTGCTGAGTGTACTTGGACATCGACTGGAAGGACAAGTGCAAAAATAGAAAATATGTTGTGGAGTTAGAAAGTACTTCCTTCTTTGCTCAAGGTGGAATGGCAAAGCTGTGTAGGCAAAAGCATGCCTTACACAATTATAATTGTGAATTAAAAAACACTTAGAAATTAAAAACCACATTTATAAACTGAGAACAAAAATCATAATATCCCTCTGACAGGGATTTGGTACTAAACCAGATAACCCATGTAAAACCTTCTGCATATTTCCTGATCTGCAGTAAATACTCATTATGTAGCTTCGTCATTATCTTTACTATAATAACCAAATAGACAGTCTAAGCATATCTTTTGATACTAACTACAACTTTTACTTTTTCTGAGACATTACATAAAAGTAACTGAATTAAAAGAGGCAATGCTAGAAAAACTCAGTGGAGATGGAAGAAATTGACCTGGAGGAATGGACACCAGGGCAAACCTCAGTGCTCTTGCTTTTATTTCCCAGGGCGGGCACTTGTTGATTTCTGTTCCCCATGGGCACAAATTCCAACTCAGAGCAAAGTCACCTTTCTCTAAGCTGGTGACACATCACAAATGTTTATTGCACAAATACTATGTATAGGTGTGGGATTTTGAAAGATGGAAGCAGTCAATGAGAACAAAGCAATCTAGACTTGGAGACACTGTCTATGGAGAACCATGGATTCATACAGACCACCAGGTCTCACTCTGCTACAGATGTTGTTACAGATGTGCCACCAACTGTCTTCCAGTGGCCCCTGCAACAGCCCTTCTTAATCCCTCCGATCACTTGAATATGTTCCATTAAAGTCCCAGTCGTATATTCATTTCCTTTCTGTCTTCCAGCCTGCTGGATGTAAATCCAGATGCCTATATTCCTGCCTCTGTTATGCTATGGTCTCAGGAGTCAGATGCTCTGCTTCCGTACCATTCCAGGCTCCTGACTTCCTAGCTCTGGCACTTGGGGCAAGTTATTCAAACTCATTAAGACGGTGTTTAAAAAAGCCACACAACACCTCATAATGCTGTTGTGAATGTTAAATAATACATGTCAAGTGCATCATAGGTATCCAATACATGCTCTGCCGTTGATGAGGTGGCAGTGGAATGGCTGGGCAGCAGTGCAGTCCCACAAAAGGAGCCAGGGATCTGGAATCAAGCTTTTTGGGTCAATTCAAATCCTGGCTTTCTCACTTACATAATTAACAACAACAGCAATTAACTTCCCCATAGAGTAATAAGAATTAAATGACTACTACCACGTACTTACCACAGAGTAAATGATGTAAGCAATTATTAGTATGACTCTGCCTCCTATACTCATTGGATATTTCTTCATCACTGTTTAGCTATTGTATAGTAAAATTAAATTGGGACTTTGTGAAGAGTGGAGAACACATATATTCACATATGTTTGATAATAGGCGGACAAGGATCTTCATTGCCCTACTGTTTGTAACAGCAAAAGACTGAGGATGATGTAAAAAGTCACCAAAGGTAACTGGTTAAATGAGGTATATCCATATTGGGGAATGCCCTTTAGTTGTAAAATGAATGGAGTACTGATCTGAAATTATTCCTATGATGCATTTTAAAAGAAAGAAGAATGGTGCAGAACCATGTGTATCATATTTTATCATTTTGTTTAATGAGTATTTTGTACATACTGTTTTTATATTTAGAGACTATTTTTGAAAAATACACAAGAAACTGCTCATAGTGGTTGCTTCAACAGGAAAACAGGGGCTTGGGGGGCAGAAGTGGAGGAAAAACTACTCTTTTCCGTATATTATTTGCTACTGCATGAATGTGTTATAAAACATATTTGTTTTTAAAACATTAACAAATTCCACTTAAAAATTTCATTATCCCTACTTAAATGTGCAACCAGTATATTTCAGGTTCTCTATAAAAAAGCCTGGACACCTCCACTTTCCCATGCTAGTAGGCACAATTCGCCAGCTTATGTCCGCCCAGTGGTACACAGGATACACAGAGCTGGTTTTCTGAACCATAACATGACCTCGCTACCTTTTGCTTCGATCTTTCATTTCAATGCTATTTTCAACTGCATTTGTTGCATGAGTTCATTTTCTCCACCCCATAAATGCCAAACGGTAGATATTCCTGAAGCATCTCCTTTCTCAAAGGATGTCTTCCTCAGAAAGGATTTAATTCAGCACCAGGGAGGCAAACTGCATTTCTCCATTTTGTACAATTCTAGAGTCATTTCAAGTACAGAGCCCTCTCTTCATGTTCCAAATATACAAATGTTTGTCCTCAGACAAGCAGGTGACTCTCAAGGCTAAGTTCCCAAATGCCAGCAGAATGTGCAAAGCCAAGGGCTTTTAA